TTCTTATGTTAAGTCAATTGATAAGTTGAATGATTATCAAATAAATGGCATGGCTGTTGCTTGGGTGGGTAATTATCTTGATGGTAGAAAGTTTCGAGTGAGAGTGAATGATTGTTTATCTGAATGTTACATGGTTAAAAGTGGAGTTCCACAGGGTAGTGTACTGGGGCCAACCTCGTATTTATTTCATGTAAATGATTTGTTAGATTTATACAGTGATGGAATTAGCTTAGATATAATGATGTATGCTGATTATGCCAAGATGTTTAAGGTTGTAAGGTCTGACGAAGTGTGTTGCAACAAGGTAAAAAGATATAAATTTTTTGAACGAATGGTGTTGGATAATTGAACGTTGAGAAGTGTGTTACAATAACGTATTGATCAAATGTGAGAAGTAATGCTTGTTACATACAATGTGGATGCACATGATTTGTTATTTGTAGATAATATTAATGATTTGGGAGTTTTATTTGATAGGTCATTTAAAATTTAATTCACAATATCATTAATCGGGCTTTTTCAATTTTGGGAATATTGAATAGACATTTAAAAACTTTTCGAAAATTCTGACTTCCAATTAAACAATTAAATTAAAATGTAAAAAATTTCCGAAAATGAATTTTTTCAGATGTAAAACTAAATTACGTACAACGTTCGCCGGCCGCTAAAAATGGCCTGGGGGACGGCCTACTAGTTCTTGCTCGGTGCCTACGTAAAAAAACTGAACAATAAACAAAGAATTTTTAAAGCAATTATTGATATAATGAAGCACGTACTTATGTGCATTGTAAGTATGTTTGTTTGTTTGTATGTATGAATTTATGCATGTATGCATGTATGTATGTATGTATGCATTATTCATGAACCTATAAAATAGCAGGATCGATCAACATTGATTGCTCCAACCAGGCTACTACCACGTCTGCCTGCATCGAATGCATCGCTTCCTACGTGCAGGCATCGTTTGTTAGTGGTGTCTTGTAAATCTCCATGCTTGCAAACTGCATGTCGCTCAAATACACATGCATACCCACGATTCTACGTACACGTTCGTGTGTAGATAAATATATGTATGTGCGTGTGTACGTATGTGTGTGTGTGTGTGTATGTATGTATGTGGGTGTACATATGTACGTATGTGTGTGCGCGCGCGCGCGTGTGTGTTGTATGGAAGACAAAAGAAAGTAAAAATAGGGAAAGTGAATGTCTTCATCGGATCTCTCCTAGCCAAGCACCGTGATAACAGAAAATACAAAAAAGAAAAAAAGAAAATCAAGTATATACTGTTCAAAACTAATAACCATTGAAAGAACACACGAATCAGAGTACAACTCCCACACGGGGAATTTATTGGTCCCAGTTTGACTTCTTTCATCATTTGATATCATTTTCATTGAACACGGATGGTGGGTGGATGCCTAACAATATAATTAACATTGCCGTTCAATATGCTGACTGCAAAGATATATATATATTCTTACTTTTTTGAAGGAGATGTTTAAAATGGTTACACAAAAAACATGCATGAATTTTCTAAACCATCTGCAAGAGTGCATGCTTATTTGAGGAACAAAACAATACGACTCTCCAACACACAAGCATACCCACATTGCATGTACTTGTAAGATTTATATGTATATATGTGAGTATGAGTGTCTGGGCAAATAAATAATTAAATAGTCTCAGTATTTGGAAACAAACCACAATTCAGTACTTTAAAAAAAACGTCTGTTAATACACACAGTGTGTAAAAAAGACTAAAAATTATTTTATCTTAACTATTCAGAGGAACCCAGGACATATAAAAAGTTTTCAAGCTGTACCGAACAACTGCTTGCAAGGTTATCTGGCAAGATAATAGAGTGCCGTTTAATGTGCTGTTGAGTGGGCAGGGCATATTCTAGCAGCTTTTGGTGTTTATTTGAAAAATTAAATCCAACCACCACCATTAATGTTTAGAAACATTATTCGGAACAAATATGAATCAGTTAGAATGGAACAAATACAAAATAATATTCCTTCATATATGAAACAGAGTCGTCAGTTTAAGTAAATTGAGTATAAAAACGCGAAAACATATTCAAAAAGGAACAGCAAATGAAGTTATAGGGAGCACCTCATTCATTCAATAGTGCAGAATAAAATCTTGCCTTGGCCATTGTTTACAAAGATCGAAAAAAAATTATTTGCGGATAGATCTCTGATAGTTTTACTCTCAAAATGTAACTTAGTGTAATGTAACTTTTACCAACGTCGTGTTTAAATGCAGTCAACTATTAGATTAATCAGACATCATTGCACAACCAATTAAATGTTTAGATCTTAAAACGAAAAAACCCTTACATGGCAGTTTTTTCTCAGAGGAATATTTTCCAGCTCTATTTAATTCAAATAATCATCGTTTACTAGTGAAGCCAACATGACATTATCCAAGTGAGTATATATTTGCTGTGTTATCTCTTGCCGTGTTATCGGTTGCTGAATGCAGGCGGAGGTCCCTTGTTCACATCGTTCCTTATGCAGGGAAATAATAACAAACTTTTGTGTATTCAGCTTTGTATATCCAATTATTACCAAAATCATTTCATCACTAGGATTGATATTTGAAGATGATTGGAAGAGGCTGACAGACACTCTAATACTTTAATTCTTATTCTTCGTGCTTCGACAAAAAAGAAGCACAGCCAGTCAAATTTTGATTATCCCCTTTCCAATCTCCAACAAAATAGCATAATCTGCAAACGGAGATTGTGGCATTCTATTCCTCAAGTTATCACTACATGCAACTGCTGTGTCGACATCAATATTCTGCATTAAATTAAATAAGATGTGCTTGGTACTTAGCATCAGGTTGGTCTGTCCTCTTCACCAAAAGATCAGACCTCATTTATTAGAAAAGTAGAAAATTGAGTTACAAGCAGATGGCCGAAAGATGGCGCCAGGAGGAGTTTATCGTTTGGCGTAACAAGAGGAAAAACATTCAACTGTTAGGCCATTGTAACGTTTCCTGTTATGAACTGGAAGTTAATTCCTTCAAATTGGATTAGATAAGTGAATAATACAATTAATCAATTCATAAATCACTGAGAAGAATGTTTCGCTCCTATCAAAGTTAAGTTCGTACTCGATAAAAATTACAAGCAGTTGAGATGTATGAAAGTAAACAGAAAATCAATATCAAATAACGTTAGATAAGCTGGCGCGTGCATGCATGCAAATAACCCCCAATAATGCACAAACATGTACAAACTACCATCTATTATTACAAACAAAAGTTTTCGATCAAAGAATTCTTGTGCTACATGCACTTTTTAAAAAGTAAACAAAGTTCGAATTTACCGAATGTTCTTGAATTTATTTGGATATAAGACCTCTGCACATATTGAAAGGACGGTACGATCACTTTTTATTCATAAACAACTCGTTACAATCATAAAAAATGAAATGAAAGCCCAATGTTGTTGAAGCAATGTATCTATAAATAGCAGTGGGTAGTGTTCTTATTTTCTTCTCGCTCATATATCTCGTTCTATTTTTAGATTTTAATTTTTATATTTATACCTCCTCGCATGGCTTGAGCAGTCGGATGAACAAAAATGTAAAATAAATAATAATAAAGTCTGAAGAAGATTTACCGACACTGCCCAGTGCCCAGCCCCCGCCCGCCACACGACCCACGACTATCGATACAACCCCTCAAATGAACAAAGAATAAAAAGCAAACGGAGCATGTTAACTACGGGCTGACCAGTTTAAAAAAAAATTTACATTTCCTGGTCCCAACGGAACCAAATTATAACCTCATTCATTGATAGCATCATCATTTTTAATCAATTCAACGGATGACCCCAACAAAACAATGCTGCGAGAAAGTTTCCTGGTGATGATAATGATGTTGATGATGTTGTTGATGATGATAGTGATGATGATGATGATGGTGTTGTATTTTGGTAACAACGATGATGTATGTTACTGATGATGAAAACAATAATGATGATGATGGTGATGTGGGTGGGGAGTGATGATGATGGTGATGTGGGTGGGGAGTGATGATGATGGTGATGTGGGTGGGGAGTGATGATGATGGTGATATTAATTTTGATAATTAAATATTAATACTACTACTAATAATAAAAATAATAACAACAACAACAACAATAATAAAAACAACAAAAAGATTTTTAAAGCTTACGTAGATGATAATGATGACGACGACGATGATGAAAATAATAACAAAAAAGTTAACAAGGAACAAACAAAGTTATATAACGTGCATTTTACATTCATCAGCACACTCTGCATTTATATTTTTGCACTGACATGAAGACAACATACAAATA